GAGGTCAAATATTTGGTGATCTCGATCCAACTGTGTCATGCCCACGCGCCAGTCTCGTTGAGATACAAGGCCGATCTTCCTTTCGTCTTACAGTATTGACGAAGGCGTCTCCTAGAAAGGGGGTTTCCCCTCGATATTGTGCCTGCTGCAAACAAGTTTCACGTCTAATTCAGATCTAGTCATGTCACTGCCGATCGTTTCCTGGAACTCCATGGAGCTGAAATTCGCCTAAGCGATCAATAATGCTGCCATTCCTGCGCCTCCAGACGCCGAGTGGTGGCCGTAGTAGCAACACATTCCGTTTACCGAATCTGGAGACAGGAAAGAGAGAAAGAGCAAATGTCCTTGTGAAAAAAGACCACGGTGTATCCTTCTTTACCAAAGTCCAATTTCAGACTATGTACGTGAGATGTCAGATTCAGATTAGTGCCAAACGCGGCCACCGCAGTCTCCTCTGCACCCAGTAACTCGTCGATCTCGACATCCAACCGACCACAGTTAAGCGATCATGGCGATGCATCTCTGACCCCAAAAGAGACACCTGAATGTACCCCTTTCGGGTTGCCAGTCAGGATTGGAGAAAATTCTCCGGCTACCCCCACCATTTGTTCATTATCCCCATCACCTGAGTTGGGTATTATTATTGCGTGCTGTTTCGGCTAATGACCGACATGTTCAAGCCCCATCAAAGCCACACTAAGCCTCATGTCACAGAGCCAATCACACCCATTAGTGAAAGAGCTTTCTACAAGGCCGTGTTCGGACACTCCGTTCTCGATGCTGAAGGATCAGCACATTCGATACGCGATCTTGAAGGGTTGTATGTAAATCACAGCCTCCCCCAGTTCTCGAAAATCTGAGCTGACCCCTCTCTCATTCTGCAGTCATGTGCTGTGACGCCGACCGGCGACACCGAACTCCAATCCAATCCTCCGTACATTGGCCCCCTAGCAAGAAAAAACATCCCTCTACTGGACCCAGTAAAGCCGCACAAGATGGGGGTACCCGACTCACTTCCAATGCCCTTTTTTTTGCGGCCAAAGACCACATTTTCAAACTCTAACAGGCGCACTGCAAAACAACCTAGGGCGGAGTAGCGGCCAAGAGAACGTTGTCTCTTTTTTTTTTGTTTCACTGCTCTGCACAAGACGAGGACAAAATCTTGTACGTAAGGCAGGGAGAAGACCGAACCCGTGCTGGGGGGTTCCCGTCGGTTGATTATGCTGTATACAAGTACTATAGGTACAGACAGGTACACAAGGTTTTGTACGAGTACGGTGCGGATGAACCTATGCGGAGCCTTGGGACTTGAGACATCTCCCTCCAGCTGATATCATACCACGTATCAAGCGCTGAAGTCCACCAGCTCCAGCTTCATCGTTGACGCCCAGTCACCCGAGTCAGGCGCCGACGAACTTTAAGCAACTCACAACCCGAATTCCTGGCAAAGTTTATCCCCAAAGCTCGGGAAAAAAGGATTGGCAGAGTCCGAATCAGTGGCGACAGAGACAACCGGTTAGGCTGCTGGGTGCGTCCCCGTATCCCACAAACAGACCCGGAACTCGGACTTGATGCGAAGTGAGGGAAATTTTCTCCATCAATCATTCAATGGTTGAGTGGAAAACAATTGACTCGAAGGCCGTTCCTGCTAACGGTCCAGCAAAGGATTACATGGTGAGCCTTCCACCAAATCATCGTCCGCACCGGCTTCGCATTGGATTTTTGACTGCATGACGAGCACGTTTCCCCCCTGATGCCAAAGTAAAGAATTTCCCGCACCACCGTTGCATTTCAACGCCCAGCACAGCCACCCATAACCAACAACTCAGAAAGTGACCGCGTGGGAAAGCAACATTCGTTCGCTTGACATAAAAAGCCCGGCACGCCTAATGCCTCCCCCCGAGTCTTGTTCCCAGCGAAGTTTGCAATTTCCAGAGACCATGGGCTTTGCTGCACAGTGCTTGGCCAATGAAAGTCCATATCAGTGGTCCGAAGGTGCTCCGAATCAAGGAATGCTGCATAACGCCGTCCATCCGCTTTGCTGTCCGTCAGGCAAGAGCCGGTCAAGTTGCCTTTCACCCGACCCAGACCCAGATAATGCCGACGACCACATCCAAGCCTTTGCTATCGGCACCAGGGTACTTGAAGCTCCACATACCATCCTTTTCGTTGTTCCAGTAGGCTCCACTTGCCGCGTGCATGCCTCGACGACCACTCGTTTTCTTTGTGTCGTCGCCGGTCGAGGCCGGAGAGGGGGCCGCGTGCTGGATGATTGTGCTGTTCACCACGTATTTGTATTGTGGTTGGCTGGTCGTCGATGATCCAGGAGCGGGCTTTACCGTTGTCTCTTCCACGAGAGCCCCCAGGATGCTGTTGATGATCATCGTGTTCCAACCTTCAGTTTCTGAGTGCGAGTAAGACGTTGCCCCTGAAAGGGCGGCTTCGCATGCCTATCCGGCCAGAAACCGAGAAGTTAGCGCCCTGCAATGTACAGCTTTTGGACACGCTCTCACGGTGGTTGGCCGAAGTGCGACTTACGTTCTCTGTGATCTCCTTGAGACGGGTGTAGGGCACGGGAGGGGGTGCTTGATCCGATGCCATTTTCTTGACAGCGATCTTTCCTCCTGCCACGTATTTGGTGATGTATGTAGATTGGGTTTTGCGGAGCAGATCGTGCGACGCAGTGGAAATGTCGGGTGTAGAGTGTGAGTCTGCTTTGAAAAGCGACGGATGTTCTTTGACAGAAAGTGTGGAAGCTGGGTCGCAAGGGGCAACTGTTGTCACAGAGGACTCTCTCGTGTATGGCTGCTCGTCTGGCCCGTCCCCTGCAGGTCTGCACGCTTTCTCTTCGCCTTGGAGTCTGGTCTCTCGCGCCGCGCTGTCTGGTTGTTCCTGCGACTTACTTGTAGGGCTTCCCTTTTCGCTTCCCACTAGTACCGATTCTCTGAACTTCTCTTCTTCCTTGACCAGCTCGTCCTGCTCACGCTCTCCCTGGCGATGTCTAGTTCTCAAACTGAAGGTCGAGGCTTTTCGCGCAAGTCGACGTCGAAACTCGGCGAGAGTCCCGTGTTCCGGAGGATGTTGGGTTTGGCGTAATGTGAAGATGCGCTTATTGGGACCTAAGTCAAGCAGGTTCGGGTTGGAGTCGTGGTGTTTTCGCAGTCGGTGTCGCTTTGCTGGCTTGCCTGGTTGATCGACTGCATGCAATGCACCCTGAGGTTGATTATTTTGAGAAGGGTCAAAACTGGTAATGGTGGACTTAACCCTCCGCAGTAGAGTCGACATCTTGTCCCCCACTGGCGCCCACGGTGAAGCAGACACACCCACGGGTGCCCCTGGAAAAGGCGAGAAAGCTTAGGAGAGGGGCAGGGCGAATGAGAAGCTTGGGTGAGAGCAGGTGCCTCTCTCCCCGCAGAGGATTGTGTCCCTAGGCGAGTTTTCGCAGCAGCTCACAGGTAAAAGCGAAAGCTTGTTCCTCGAACTTACCCGAGACCTGCGAGTCTTTTGGGTTTCCGCAGGAGACCAACTTCTTTTGCAGAGAAAACGACAAGAGGTTACAACCATACATATGTTATCGCTTTCATAACTTTGACCAATCTCCCAAAAAACCAAGCTCCCATCACCAGCACTGTTACCAGTTTATAGCTATCCCAGTATACGACAGGCCGAAAATGTCCGAACAACCACTTCTTCAGAGCGCCCCCGGTAAGGTTGCTTGCTCCAATGCCCACCCAACCCGGTGTCTTTTGTTTGAACGCATGACTTTTGCGACTAACAGTTTCAACCGGGCCAGGCAAACGCATCGCCCTGCCGACGCGCGTCGAGCCCAAGGTCTTCTTTGCCAATGAGCGGACCTTCCTCTCGTGGCTCAATTTCACCGTCATCCTGGGAGGGCTGGCCGTCGGCCTCCTCAACTTCGGAGACTCGGTCGGCCGCATATCCGCGGGACTCTTCACCCTGGTGGCCATGGCGGCCATGATATACGCACTCGTCACGTTCCACTGGCGAGCGAAGGCTATCCGAGTCAGGGGCCAGGGTGGGTTCGACGACCGGATTGGACCGACTGTACTGGCCGTCGCCCTTCTCGCAGCTGTCATTGTCAACTTCGTGCTTAGGGTGGTCGAGTCGTAGGCATGGCGGCTCGAACGTGGAGAACAGAAACAGGCGGTGGCCTACCGATGAGGACGACAAGCCCGAGCCGTTGACAGAATGAAAGAGAGGGAGATATGGACACGTGGAAAGAGAGTAGAGGGCTCGGGAGGGCCGCTTTGGGGTCGAGAAGAGAGCATCACAGAAATCTGGCGACGGATCTACGGCGGCATTCATTGGTGTGGGTGTTGTACCCCGGCCTGGAGCTCTAGACTCCCGAGCTTCCTGCGCCTTTGCAATATCCGAGCATCCCTCTTCTGGAGGTGCTCATTTGGGTGGCAGGTTTATCACGCGCAGACCAAAGAAGGAAAGAAAAAAAGAAAAACAAATCAATAGTGCACGAACAGAGCATACTTGACACCTATAATTGATCCTTTTGTAGGCGATAAAGTCCTATCTCGACTTCATCGATATGTCGTGCTGATGTATCTTTGGTTTTTCGTAAAGGACATGTAAAGCTACCTCTGCCCGTGTGCTACATTACGGTCCCGGCCTTGTGTTCCATAATCACGATATTCGCTACCAGCTGTCCCGTTGTGCACAAGGTAGGAGTCTCATTCATCAAACTCCGAGCTCCCTTCAAGGTCCCATCTCCTATCCGTCCCCCAAGTAAAATCCCCCGAAAAAAAGACTCTGTTCAATCCACGGCTGTCCTAAACCTGTCTCTCAATCATAGCGAGCAAAGGACAGTGCCATTCCTACGTCCCGTTGGTGTTGCGGCTGTCGGGGTACAACAGACTCAATGCTACTCCGCCATCCTGGTCATCTTCAGTGTCGGGCTCACCGCTGTCATTTCCATTTTCCTTGCACTCAAACCCGTCCACGTCGTTCCCCTCCTCCCAATCCGTTCCCTAAGGCGGATTGCTGTAGTCATTCAACGCGACACAGACCGCGCCCCTGTGATGGCCGCTATACTGCCTGATGATCTTCCCCGTAAGGATCTCCCAGAGGCGAGCGTAGTGGTCGGAGCAGACAGTGACAAGATACGCGGAGTCAGCGCTGAAGGCACAATCCCAGACCCAGCGTTGGTGGATGTCCAATATGGCGTGACAAGGGAGCGGACGGCGGAGGGAGATGAGGTCTGTGGTGGGGCGGAATTGTTGGGAAGCAGTCGAGGCGAGAGAAGGGGTGGAGTGGGACAGTTTCGGGTCTGGGGAGGAGTCGGTGTGCTTGTCATTTTCGGCACTCGGCAGGGATGGTTGCGAGTGCGAGAGTGTGATTGTGTTGGGATTGTTTGGGAGTGGTCCTGTTTGCTTTGCTGGCGCTTCTTGCTGTTGCTGTGATATTGGTGGATTCTGGGGTTCATTGAGATCTTCCAAATGTTCCTCGTTCATGTCGATCTTCCAGACGCGCACGGTGTGGTCGGAGCTACATGTCGCAAGGTATTTTATATCTGGGGACAGAAGAAGGCGCGTGAGGTAATCCTTGTGGGCCTTGAATGCGCGGCAAGGGAGAAGGGTGGTTGAGTCGTGGTTTTGGTATACGCGCCAGATGTAGACGTCGCCCTAGAGAAGCATTGTGAGCTTTGCCCTTGTTGTCGAAACCCAACATCCTTCAACCTACCAGATTGTTTCCCGCAGCCAGTAGAGAGCCATCGCTCGCAACGCTCACGCTGGCCATGGAAATGTCTTCCACAGGGACAAGCTGATGGGTACACCGACTTGCGCCCAAATCCCAAATGCGAATATTCCCCCCTCGGTCACAGCTAACCAGCTCTCCTTGATTTGGATGAATCACCACGTCATTTACTGGATGCGAGTGTTGATAGTTCCTCTGAACCATCCCCGACCTGGTATCCCAAACTCTTACTGTGCAGTCTTCAGAACTAGTGACCATCCACTTCCCTTCACAGTGAAACGCGACACCAGTCACATTGTTCGTGTGGCCCTCGAACTGCATGATAGGGTTGGGATTGCTGGACTTGATGTCGTAGAGACGCACCATATGACGACCCGCAGCCGCCAGGTACTTTTTGTCTGGTGTGATACATAGTCTGTTGACTTGTGATTCCGGATGTTGGATTGTTCTTGAACATATCCCTGACAGTGCTTCCCAGAATCTACAGGGCACGAGCAAAGGTCAATTTTGAAAGCGAAGGTGAGGGAACAAGGCAGCGGGCGCACCTAATAGTATGGTCATAGCCAGCTGAAGTAAGGATTAGCCTCTTGCCCAACATTTGCGACAGCGAGAAGAACAATACCTGTGCACAATATGACGCTCATTTTGACGGCTCATGGCCCCCAGGCGCCGCCTCTGATGTCGGGCTTTGTACTTGGTGCAGCTTTCAGTCTTGTGGATGCTGGTTGTGTTGATGCACAGGCTGGAGATGGAGATGGGTGCGGGGATGAGATTCTTTTGTGACGACCAGTAACGCCAGCCTCGTACCTCAAGGCGTCGGAGCCTCGTAGTCCCGCAGAAATGCAACCCGCTGCTTTAAGACAAGCCGCAGGTAAGCGAGCCAATGAGCGATGCACAAAAATAAGGCTTGTTCTCGCTTAAATATCTCCGTGTGTGTGTGGACTCTCTCCGACTTCATCTCTCCATTCATGCTTGTATATATATCAAATCATATGGCCGTCAATGTCGCCCACACAGACGCCGTCGCTCCCAGACCGCCATCACAAGGCCATCAGTTGAGGGACTTTCCCAACAAAACGCCAGCAATTTCGACCATCATGCTCTTGTTCCCGATTTGTACAGTCCAAATGATGGTCCCGCTCTTGCACGAACCAGGCGGGTAAACAACGGTTGAATAAGTCAAGGTTGGTTCAAGAGGTGGAAGCTTTGCAGCCGTGCTGTTGCAAGTTGACAAGACGTGTTTTTCTTGGTTCGGTGTGGCCCCTCATGTCATGGACTGCTTTTTGGGTTTTTGCTGGGGAGACATGGTGCCAGAATGGCAGCACCCAAAGGTGAGTGGTAACTTACTAAAGTATGGAACCATTGGATTGACCGAGACAGTCCAGGTGCGAACACACGGTCTGCGCCCTGTACCAGACTTTGTGTTCTCGCAACAGAATGTTGCGGTGTCGCGGGCGCGCTGGCCGTCCACGAAGCAGGCCCCTTTTATCGTGCCTTGAGACAATTTCCTGCTTGAAGTGTTCTTCTCTTCGTGACCGACCTTACCATCCTGCTTCCTCCTGGATATTGAAATTCACTTCATCAGACACGACATCTACACCTGGAATCGTCAAGAGCCAAACGGCATGAAAACTGCGCCCTCCTCAATCCCGTTTGCTGCATACAGAAAGTGAGCTTTGCGGATCTTCACAGGTTAGTAGAATTTGAATCATGCATATTGCCTGACCCTAGTAACACCGTGTGTTGTGCAGTGAAGACTTCTTTGTGCACTACTCTCGTACTTCAAGAGGTGTCACCCCTTTCGATCTCCGCCAGTCAATTTTACGGAAACGATCATCACAGTTTTCATACAATCTGGTGATAGACAGCCTCATCGAATCTTGGACAGATTCACAAGATCCCTTCGGACCCCGTCATCCATATCGACTTGACCCGCACCTGAGAGACAAAATCAGCCAATACAGAGACCTGAGCGACAATTAAGGACTCTTTCTCTCTTCAACAACTTCATCGGAGCTCTAGTCGACATCAACACCTGTCCATATTGCAACGCTTCACGGATCAATCATGGATCGAAACTCAAAATACCACACGAGTTTCATTCAGAACGACTTCACAGGAAATGCCCCCAACAGCGACCCCAACAGCCAAACCTCAAATCCTTTGAACAACGTCAGTCACGTTCAACAACATCTCATGGGAACACCGAACCACGCCTTCCAGAATTCTCTTGCTAGGAACAATTCTCTTCAACCGCTTGTTCCCATGGCTCAGAGTTCAACGGATTATGGAAGTCCGCTCCGACAGCAAACTATGGGATTGCACATCATCTCACCTCAAATGCCCAACCTGAATGGCAGTCCTCTTGGATCTCATCAGATACAAATGCCAGAAAACATACTACCGTCCATCGAAAATACTGGCAACGGTCTTGGGAACATCCATCCTCCAACCCAGAACAATCTGCTTGGATTGTCAACCGAAGGCACCGTTGGACTTCATGGCGAGCAAATGACCAACGTCGTTGCCCCATATTCGTTCAACGATGCATACTTCACCGACACCAATGCGATGGGAATGCAAGACTTTCTCGGTCCGATTGACAATAGTGTCCAGGACTTCACTGCCAATCTGTTCGATCAAGAGCTGGCCAAACTCGACCCTGTCTCTGCACACTTCCAAGATCTTGGCCATGGCAACAATCAAGGAAACACTTTCCTCCCACAAGGCCAGCGAGACGACACTACTGGACAGACGCAAACTCAGGAGACTGTGCACATACTACAGGCCGAAATACAAACCTACAAGGATAAAGTCTCTTCGCTCGAACAAGAGCATGGCACAACGGTCGCAACGCTCCAGCAACAAATCAGCAAGCTCAAGACTGAGAACGCAGCCCTGGGAAAAGACGCTATCATAGCCACAAGCTACTATAACACTCTTCTAGGCCGATATGACTTCTTGATCGGACCAGACGGCAGACTCTTCCCAGTGATCCCTCGGACCATGGAACGGGCAATTTTGGCGAGCAATCGACCAAAGCCACCACTTCAACAGAATTACGAAGCCAAACTGCAGCGATTGAAGCAGGAATATAGAGATGTACTTCTCAGAGCTGACATCTGCCACTTGTGCCCATTGCACCACAGCAGCCGTCATCAACTGCGAGCTCCAAGCGTGGAAAGGGCTGCCCTTCAATTCATTGACCTCACCAATGTTGACGAAGAACCTGTTGCAGTCTTCCGAAGTGACTCCATTCAAGACTTTCTAGCCCGTGCTGCTCGCGATGAGCTGGCTCAGAGCAGCAGCTCTGACGGACAGACAATGGCTGTAGTGCATGCAACAACATGTGCCCAAAAGATGGCGACCTTTGCCGCAATTCCGCCAACAATGCAAGCTGGATCCTCAAGCGCAGGAAGCACTCAACCTCTGGCAGTCGAAACCGCAAGACCAAGACCGCTTGATACGCCCCCTTCCGAAATGGAAGACATCAACCTCGCAAAGCGCCAGAAACGCAAACAGTCTGACTATGGCTGGATGCAACCAAGTCAAAACCTTGCGCTGAGGAAGGCAAACGGCGACCTGCCTCATCCTCTGGAAGAGTGGAGTCTTCAGCAAGCTGGGAATACGACCACTGGATTTCTTGATGCCGTTGCTGTCCACAACGCCGCAACGACCACACCAGCTGCAGACCGCCGGTCCTCGATCCAAAAGTCGAAACCAGCACCGGCTCCGAAAGCCGCGTCTGCTGCTCCCAAGCTTTCAAAGGTCACCAAAACCAAAGCAGCCACACTAAAGAAGCCCACCACTCGCGAAAAGGGCAAGGGAAAAGCCAAAGCATCTGCAGCACGATCAGCGAATCTCACCACCGCTCTCACCGGCCTCAACAGTGTCACCTCAGCCACCAACATTTCTGGATCCAGCAGCGCCCGCGAGACTCTCACAGTCGACATTCTCCCCGAAGAGCCTGCTCATGTCCGTCCTCGAACACCAAGCCCTCCACCACGACCCACTATTTCAACCACAGACATGGATGCCGAGTACGAAACCGACGAGGACATGGAGGCACAACTCAGAGATTACGACTTGACAGTCATTGACCACAACGAACAATACCCGCTGCCTGAAGACAACGAGAACCCTCAAGCGACAACATTCTGGGAAGTCGACGATGGAGAAGTGGAAGACATCATTGCCCTGTTGGAGGAACCCCAGAAGCAGCAGGCCATGCACTGCCCGGCCAAGGAGAGCGAGAAGGACTCGGCTCAGGGCCAAGCAAACCCAGCCGCGGACTTTGAACAGGAAGTTGCGGAGGACAACGGCGGTATTGGAGATGCGAGTGGGGATGCAGACCTTGAAAGCCTCTTCAACTTCGACGCTGTGGAAGAGGACCTCCCGATGACGACGTGGCCCGGCGAGGACGAGGAGAGCGAGGTGAGCGAAGAGGAATAGATGGATCGAAGGAGAGACGGAGAGAAGGAGGGGAGAGATGGAACGATGGAACGAACATTGAGTGATGAATGAATGGGATGGGTCATGAGCGACGAGCGACGAGTCCGACTGATGAATGAACGAATGAGTGATGGAAAGATGTGCTGTGAACGATCGGCGCAAGCACTGCAGGGACAGTGAGTTGGCCTGGGAGATTGACTTCCGGCTTACGAGGACAACGCATGGATGGGAAATGAGACGATTAACGTTGTGTTCGCGACAGGACGGCAGAGATCACGAGACGGAATACGTGCAGAGTGAATGAGCTGAACGGACTTGCGTATTGGTGGAAAGAGCCTGTACCCGTACAGCACGAGCACGAGCACGGAGAGAGAGTCTTGTGGTTGGTTTACATAGATAGGCAAGGTTCGATCAGATCAGATCCCAGACAAGCCCCAACAATCAGATCGATCCAGCTCCCTCCCAGAGACTTCTTCTTCACCGTCTCTTCTTCCTCCCAATCCCGCTTCGATTGCTTCCTGCGCGACTTGCGGCAGATATGACGCTGGCAGAGCGCTTGTGGGCGCGTGCCGGAACACTGAGAGCTGCAGGTTCTTCGTCTGGTTCCTGCTCCTCCTGCTCCTCCTCAGCATCGTCATCATCATCCGAGTCGTCGGCCTCTGCTGCGGCGGGCCCATCATCGTCTTCGTCTTCGTCTTCTTCCTCGTCCTTGTCTTCTTCGTCTTGATTGTCAATTTCGACTTCATTGTCCGAGTCCGCATCGTCCTCGTCGTCGTTTGCTTCCTCGTCAGACTCTGCCTCCACATCTGGCTCTTCATCCTCATCCTCGTCCCCATCCTCGTCCGCATCGCTCTCATTCTGCGGTGTCCCAGTAACCTCGGCATCTTCATCCTCTTCGTCCTCATCAAGATCAGCTTGGCCATCCTCTCCACCTTCTTCGGCATCGTCGTCATCCTCCTCATCCTCTTCGTCGACACCCGTAACTCCTTCTTCATTCTGCTCCTCGTCCTCGTCGTCGTTATCTTCGCCTGTTTTAGCTTCATCGCTCTCTTCTTCTTGATCTTCGACTTGTTTCGAAGTGTTCTCTTGGGCTGTGTCCTGTTCCGCCTCCGCGTCTGCGTCTGCTTCTGCGTCTGCTTCTGCTTCATCTGCTTGCCTGCTTGCTGGCACAGCGTTCTCGTCCTTCACATCTCCCGCGACAGAACCCTTCTCATCAGCCTTCTGCACAGGGACATCGTCTTCGGCTTCAGCGTCCTGGTCCTCCTCAACCACGGCGACGGAGTCGTCATTCGTGGCTTCAATCTTTGAATCGTTTGCCACTTGAGAATCGTCGACCTCCATTGCATCTGCGGTCGTAGGAAAAGAAGGCTGAGCAGGGTCCGAAGGAGCAACGGGCTCTCCGTCTTTTGGCAATCCCAACCTGATCCGCCTAGCCTCCTCCAAAATCTTGATCTCGGTCGCAATCTTCTCGTTCACTTTCCTACAGTCTAGCAGCATGTTGATCTCAGTGACCAACCGCTCGAACTCTCGGCATACTCGTTCCGTGGGCATAAGCAATCGAGGTGGAATTCCTAATTCTGTCAAAGCAGCCTGAATCTTGGTTGTTTGAGTCTGGCTCTTGGCCATAGTGAGGCGATTGATCTTCTCATGGCGGAACTGCACGCCGCTTGTGATCCTTTCCTGTGGATGCGAGACACCGAACCGTGCTTCCTCTTGAGGCGACAAGATTCGAACACTGGGCTGAGACGTTGAGCCTTTCTTTTGTGCGCTGGGCGCATCATCGGTAGCCTGCGTGTCGACTGTGTCTCGTCGGTTGTATTGAGGTGGATGTCTGCCCTTCTCGTATCTCTGCGATTCGGTGGGAGTGGAAGCGGCGCCTGTCTCACTGCTGCCAGGAACTGGGGGTCGTTTCAGCCTCTTCTCTTTGGCGAGAAGGCTCTGCAGTAACATAGAAAGTCCTCCGGAAGTTTGATACATGGCAGTAGACTGTTCCTCTCCCCTTTCGGTTCTTCTAATAGGTGCCACAGGTTCGAGTCTCGCATACAGATCCCGTCTCATTTTGATGAAGTCGTCCTCGTTCTTAGTGATTCGGTGGAGTTCTTCGAGAAGAATTCGCTCCTCATCGGCTTCGTCTTTGGTGCGTTCAAATAGTTTCTCCGCCATCGCTTTCCTCATTGTTTCAGTCTTTGCATCAAAATTGCGCATCTTCTCCCAGAGTTGAAATTCAGCCTGAGTCATTGTGCTTGCTGGAGTTTGCGCTTCCATAAGCTTTGCGGCAATGGCATAATATCGTTGCTTGAGGGCTTCCATAGAACGCTGGGGAAAATGAGGTTTCACCACAAGTTCGCTGCCATTCGCATTAGCCTCTCCATCTTGAACCGGCAGTTGGGGAGCTTGAATTTCATGTGGGTTGTATCTATCGCCGATAACAATCCATCTCAAGTCGTAGTCCCGGCACAGGTCCATGAGATAATCGGTCTCCTGCCGCGTCCAGTCATCTGACTTTAACATGTTCTCATACTGCTCATCCGTGTAGGAGGGTATCTGGACCTTGACGTTCCACTTGTTTGACGGGTACTCTTCTTCAAACTGTAATTCTTGCGCAGCGGGAGATGCCTTTGATTCATCTGTCATTTCTACATCCGCCGAGCCATTCGTAACAACGGGCGTGCGGGCGTTCGAGCCGGGGATGGACCGTTTCCAGTGTCTCAGCACCAATCCGTCAGTCCTCCCACCATGCACAAATGGTCTCTCCTCCCAGTGACGCGGCTTGAACAATTTCTGGGAGATTGACGGTCTCGATTTGTAGGAGCGTGGTTCGACGATGGCGATGGGAGGGACCGAATCGCCCATGAGAGCTTGTACTTCTCGCTTCACACCGGTGACGCGCGAGTGAGGATCGACATGTTTTTTCTTCTTGGGCGCAGGCTGACGGGGCCCTGCCTGGCCAAGGTTCATGATATCGCGAATGTCGTTCGTGGAAGCCATCTTGCCAGGTAGACGCAGGATCGATTGTCGGTCAACAGTTTTTTATGTCGGGCGTAGTTTTTGCCTCGCCCATTTATGAGCGTCTTGCGGAAAGTGACAAACCAGTCAAGCAGAAAAGAGACGGATGCGCAGACACAATGAGAGCGAAAGACGCAGAGGATGCACGCAACCAGAGAGATTCGGGGATATTTGAAATGACGCCACACGTGACCTCAAAGTCATTTGAAACACGCCTACAAGGCTGTCGGAGGCTGCAAGGCTGCGCAGCCCTGACACATGTTGACTTTTGATTGGCCATCTTCAGTATGTAAAGCAGCGCGTACCACGTTCTCTGAGAAAAAGGGGCCCTGCGCTCCGCATCTTGTTGTGTGTCCCTCTGGTATTGGAGTTTGGACATTTTGTTCAATTGATTTTTCCTGCGCCATTACCGTTATTTCTCAGCGCCAGACCTACGTCCGATCAATCACGACGAGCAAGATGAAATCCTTACTTGCGACTTTCGCCGCAGTCACTTCGATCCTCATACCCTCAACACAGGCACTATATTTCTATCTCGATGGCACGACGCCCAAGTGCTTCTATGAAGATTTGCCGAAGGGCACGCTAGTAGTCGGTATGTCAAGAATTGATTGGTTTCATCATTTGATGCTGTGGTGTTCCAATTATCGGAACACCGCTACTGGGATGGACACCTGTCCGAGCACGATTCTACGGCGACGGATCTCCCAGATGGAACGAGAAAACAAAAGACAACCAGACACTGATTTGATGCTGGAAATACAGGAACATACAAATCCGAAGCCTACAACCCCCAGACGCAATCCTTCTCAGCAACGCCCGACCTCAACATCCACTTCACTGTCGAAGAGACCTTCGACAACGACCACCGGGTCGTAACCCAGACCACGCAGTCCTCGGACAAATTTTCAAAGTTCACATTCAGTGCCGCGGACGCGGGCCTGCACAGACTTTGCTTTACGCCCTCTGGGCCCGCGGCGATCAGTGTGAATGGATGGTTCGGAAATGGCGGAAATGTGTTGGGAGGAGTGAAGTTGACGGTCGACATGGCGATTGGAGAGACGAGTAAGATTGAGAGTGAGGACAAGGGCAAGATCGACACCATTGTCGGCAAAGTGCGGGAGTTGAACGGGCGGTTGCAAGATATCAGGAGGGAACAAAAGTTTCAAAGGGTAAGTCGAGACCAACACACACACACACAGCCACCATTCATACGTCTCCCCTGCGTAGGGCTCCTTTTCGTGGAGAGTCGCTGATCCAGAATGTGTGATTAGGAGCGCGAAGCAGAATTCCGCGATCAAAGCGAAGCAGTCAACGCGCGAATCGTCCGGTGGACGTTGATCCAGCTGGGCGTCTTGGGCGTCACCTGCGCGTGGCAGCTGTCACATCTGAGATCATTCTTCATCAAGCAGAAATTGACATAGACTGCTCAGTCCTTGGACGAGCATTTGGCGGCATTGGAGCCCAACAACGGACTTGACTGTATTCATGTTTTTCGCACTTGACCTGGGGTATGGACTCTCGACAGAGAGAAACGGACCGAACCGCCTTTTGGGAAGGACAGGACTGACCCGACTCTGTTGATCAGTAAGTCGCCTCAATTCCTTGTCCGTTCGAGAGCCTGTCGACAACCTCATCATGTCATGTAAACGATCCCAATTCATGGGTGTTTGGAATGGAATGAGAAGAAAAACGATTCATAATATGCTACGCTATGCCGTCAGAGGGTCTATCCTGTTCACCTTCTGCTTGCCAATCTCCCTATGCTTTTAAAAAAGAAAAACCCCGACATACAATGAGAATGCCTCCAACAGACACGTGTTATTGCCGTACATGGACCCGCCCTAGACTGAACCAACCCTTCAATATCCCCGTCTCGCTCTTGGCCCAGCAATACTTGAACCAGAAGAAGACCCGAGCCCCATCCGGCTGAGTGTATTTGAAATGCCCATGCTCTCACGCCGTGGGAATCTGCCACCTCCACCCAGTGATAGGCCATCGACACCCAATGTATTGCGACTTGAACTTTGTGATTGACGATCCCGACTAACCGAAGACCTTGTCCTCGGTGTTGTCGAAAGAGGGTTGGATGAATCAGTGTATTCAAACCGATAATGCTCGGGTCGTGGGGTCTCCCATGCTGTGGTGGTAGTCGTGGACATTGACTTCAGACTCTCGACCGAGTCGCTTGAATCTGTTCGTGGGAGCTGAAGCACTGGCGCCGCTGCAGCGCCGGGGTGTGGATTGGGTGACTTTTGCGTCGGTAATGCAGGGATTGACTGTAACGGAGCAGCGTTATGCAAAATGGGTTGACGGTGAACCTGAGGTGCCCAGTGGTAACGAGTCAGTGTCAGGAACTCTTGAGGGAGCAGCAGAGCCACGACCGCAATAGCGAGCTTATCCCACACATTCCTAAACAGTTCCCCAAACCGCTCCTGGACCATGGCAACCCCAATCAAAACGACTGCTTCAAAAGCGTACATGAGTATTCTTGCGGCTTGACCATGAATACCATTCAGACAAAGAACGATGGTGATGTGACCCAACGGTACGACCACACTGAGAAGGACGGTGTAATAACCCAGTGGGGAAGTCTTAGGCCTCATGGCAGCTTCGGAGAGCCATGCCGCTAAGCCTACTGCGAGCGAGAGGATTGACCAGCAGCTGAAGAGTTTTGGTATTGACAGAGCTTCCCCCTTGTTCAACTGGTGGCGACTGGCCTCTCTTCCTGATACAGCCTTGGAAAACTTTGGATCCGATTTGGATCCAGATTCAGGTTGATCTAAGGACGAATCCTGGAGAGAGAAGACGGTATCAAAGATGCTTTCCAGGCCCGTGTCGGCATGTCGCTCGTGCCCGAAAAACTTTGGTGGCGCTATGGCCTCGCTGCCAGTTCCAGTCTGACGAGGGGGAAACAACGACTTCTGTGACTTATCAAAAAACCCTGGCGGGAGACCAATGGCCTCTCTACCAGTCCGTGCTTGACTCTGATTTTTGAGGACTCCTTGAGCATTCAATGCTGGTAGTTTTCCGTGAAATGGCGTGGGCTCGGTTGCTGTGTACCGAATCTGCTTGAGCTCAGGTTGGAATGTCGGCTGGGATGGTGTCCAGTCCATCGCTTCAGCATTGTCTGGTGGAGGCGTGGGAGGATTCCATGCCTGGTAAGCTGGTCTTGCAGGTGTTCCCAGATTGTGGATGCTGAAGGGCTCATTCGATGGCTGTTGGGGTTCTGGTTGTTCGAAAGGCGCAGGAGGGCTGAATTGGGTGCTTGACAGCAAAGGGGCAGGGTCATCGTGCCAATTAATCTGAGGGCCAGACTTGACTGTTGTAATTCCAAAAATCGACCAGCCTGCAAGCACTGTGATTGCGACCGCGAAACAGGCATGCAAGATTGCTGTCAGTCGCAACGATAGAGGGACATGGAACAAGATTATCCAAGCGCCGAATCGCAGCCCCAGAAGGAGAAACTGCGCCAGATAATACTCGTTCAGGCCCGACAATCGCTGATCACTGTTGGACAACTTGTGCTGCCACTTTGGATTCCACCAGATACATAGCAGACCCAATACCAAAGATAGTCCAACAATGGGCTCCATCATTTCTGCGCATTGGCGGACACAGTGCAATTGCGAGAAACATTCGACAGGTTTGAGTTGTCGATTCGACGACCCTGCAACCACCTGAGAGCCATACAGATGCCAGAGCACTTGTAAGGTCAGACTAACTGTATGGCCCAGTCCCGCGGCACTGAGAAGAAGACTTCTCCACCCCCATCGACTGGCCACCCTTCTTTGTCGTGATTTTTCCAGCACCCGTCGAAGGTGGTCACTTCTGGCATTGTACGTAGCCTTATGCAACTGTGCTCTGACTTTGGGTTCGCACTTGGCACAGCACTGGGGGTAGCGTTGTTCGAGTCCTTTCTTGTACTCTGGGAGTTGGGCCTCCAGTTTCTCGTACTCGGGATGGTCGGGATCTGGAAGGAATTGGGAGAGGTTGTAGGTGTATAGTTGCTGGTTCTTCAGACATGTCGAACAGAATACCGAGTCTTGTGAAGAGAAGTCGTCGGAGAGAGGGTTCGTAGCGACGGGCTGCGCGAAACGCTGAGCCGGGGCGGCTTCTTCTAGGGGGACATCGGCGATCTCCCCGTTCTTTGCGACGTGTTAGTGGCACCACATCTCCAAAGGAGAAAATGTACATACCTCATCGAAGAAATTGACGGCAAGGCAGTGCTCGCATTGAAACTTGTGACCAGGTTTCTTCCCCGCTGGCAATTTCGATCTGCGCCCGCAGTAGTGACAGTCCAGGCGCCGGCGGAGTGTGACAGGCATGACTGCGTTCGCATGGTTGTAGAAGCTAGCTGCAAGGTGCCTGGGATGCGTTCATATAGGCCTGTTGTCCGACAAATTATTGTACAAGGAGGGGGATCCAAGAGAACAACGCATCAGACATCCGTCCTTGTTTCCAAACCTTTTGGCAGGTCAACTGTCTACCATTTTGGGCTTAGCTTGTCTCGGGGGTAAACTATTTATCACCGAACAAATAAAACACTCCGCCCACTCAAAAGCCTCGTCAGCCTTGTGCTCAACAACTACGACCATGTTTTACTACCAACACCTTCTGGTTTAGGATACACGTCGTGCTATATCCTGAGACAGTCAACCTTGAACATGCTGAGTCTTCCCAGAACCGAACTCATCGCCCAGCTCCTGGCTCGAAATAGACAGAGACCCTGACCCAAATCACAGGTTTCTGAGGGTGACTTGATCTCCTCAGCAGCCATGGAGTTGCATAAGACACAAATGGAACAACAACGAGGCCTATTCCCTGGCGGAGCAATCATTTCGGTCGCCATGCTCGCACCACTAACTGCCATCTCGCCATTCCGCCAGCCGTTGCTTTTCATATTCGCCAGCACTTGCATCTTGATCAGCTTGTCATTCTTTCGGCTCGTCCAGGTGCTCCATCGGCCACCAATATCGCGACGTCCTCCGCCATCTTCGAGAAATCCAACCCATTTGTTGGTTGTGCTGGGATCGGGAGGGCACACGGCAGAAATGCTGAACATTCTGAGCCAATACCGCCGACTACCGCTTGACTTCACCAGGCGGACCTACGTGGTGAGTTCGGGGGATGAATTCTCCGCCTCGAAAGCAAGGGATTTTGAGGCCGAGATGGCGTCGAACCTGCAGGCCTCCTCATCCTTTTCCGAAGAGACACCTCCAAACTACAGCGTCGTGACGGTTCACCGCGCGCGACGTGTTCATCAGTCCCTGCTCACGACTCCCATTTCAAGTCTCCGGTGCTTGTACGACTGCCTCAGCGTCCTTTGCGGCACACATCGAGAGTTTGAATCACAACCTGGAGGCAGTGCTCCACCATCCTATCCAGATCTGATCCTGACCAACGGGCCCGGAACCGGGGTTATCGTCTGCTTCGCTTCTGTCATCCTTTTATTCTTCGGTTTCTCAGGTCCCACGACACTCCGCTCACCCGTCAAGGACTCCAGAGCGCACTCGGACCCTCTTTCAACGCAGAGCACCTCCACTGCAAGCTCTGGCGAAGGGTATACACAATTCGGGCAGATGCGCACCATCTTCATCGAGTCGTGGGCCCGGGTGAAAACCCTCAGCTTGAGCGGGAGACTGTTGAGACCGTTTGTCAATCGGTTTCTCGTGCAGTGGCCCCAGCTCGCCGAGAGGCAAGGGAGAGCCAAGAACGTCGAGTTTGTAGGGAGTCTGGTTACTTGACGAAGGTGAAGAGGAAGATTCTCATGCGATGACTATGTTCCGCTCTGACGTACAAATGGGATATGTACCCTGGGCTCAAAAGATCGCTTGCTCAACGACAGCTACAGGCGCGAAGGAGGGGATCTCTACGATCTTCGCAAGATATTAAAGGAGACCGGACACAGTCAAGGGCAGAGGCAATAACAAGCAAGTTTGGAGTGGCTGAAGCAGCGCGTTGTCCGCAAGAGTCTTACTCGAGACTCACTTGAGCTTCCTCTGCAAGCCACACAAGCTAGAACCGGCGGGCGACACCATCACAAATGTGTCTGTTTCGGCATGATCAACCACGAATACGAGTATGCGACAGCACGGCCGCGGTGAAAAACCAGGGCTAATCAACAAAGGATGAACTCAACCAACACTCCCGACTTCGTTGAAGGTCCATTGGCAAGGGGAACTTGCTCATGCTGTCGTCCCAGGGGAGTGTCTAATATTCTAGATGTACACTGCCACCACTAATCGGTGACTACTCTCCATCCTAGCTGTTGATTTTACATCCAAATACAAGCTTTTGGCGGACACATCAGGCCCATATGACAATCACTCCTTAAGTCGGGTGCAGAAATCGACAGTGACATGCCTCTCAGCAGTCGGAATTTGTCCATCACTCCGCCATTCTCAGTTTCCTTCTTTCCCTTGCTGCCTTCATCTCCTCCAACAAGAGCTTCCTCGTCTCTTCGCTCATTCCGGCTTGCTTGATTGCTTCAGCCCTCTGTGCTACCGTCTTGAGTTTCTCTTCGGCCAACTTCGCCAGGGGACCTTGAATCTTCCGCTCCTTGAACCATTCTGCACGAGCGTCCTCCAAGATCTTCATTCTCACATACTCATCTTCGTGCCATGCCCTATCTCGCCGATACTTGTCCTCTGCTGTCAGGTCGTCAAATATCTCTGGAGAGGGAATAGGAGGTTGGTATATTGTGGGCGTCCAGGTTTGTGACTCGACATCATAGCGTGTAGTATCTCCTTCAAAGGCTTGGTATTTGGGAGCTTCGACTTCCGGCCAAGGGATCTGAATATCTTCACCCGCGACGTACCGTGTATGTCGAGGTAGAGGCGAGTTAGGTTCACGTTGGAAATAAGGTGGGCCGCCACGGATGTGTTTGACGATGACATCTCTGTCGCGTCCAGTAGCAGGGTCGGTGAGGCGGTACACAAGTCGTACGTCGGCGATGGGCACCGGTAATTCGAGGGAGGAGAAGTGTATTTTGTCGCGCTGTTCGCCAAAGCTCTCGGGTATCTCAACATCGGCCTAGTTGAAGTTAGATTCATAGCTGCAACGACCAGCGCATAGTGCAAGAGACGTTGTCCATACCATATTGAGACCTTCGATTCTCAGTTCCTTAGAATCGCTGCTGACATCCTTGACCTTGCCAATTTGTCCGATTAAACCCTCTTTCCCCTTCACAATGCAGACTCGGTCTCCCTCCACAATATTCCCTTCATTGCCGAACCCTCCCCACTCTTTCTGTTCCTCCTCTAATCCTTCACCTCCGACGGGATCCCACCCATTACTCCTAGGTCCATGCCTAACCTTCGTGGGAAAGACTGGCCCTTGGTAGAGCAGGTTGCTCACAGTGCCATAGAAATCTTGCTTTGTGCCAACATCTCGTTTCGGTGCTAGAGGGCCCATGATCCAATCCTCCCGCCGGGCTCTGCGCTCAGCTTTGATGTGCCCATTTTTCACTTTCTCCGTCTGGATCAGACGAGCCTCGTACTCTTTCCAGTCCTCTCGGAGTTTTTCGTAATTTTTCCGCCGAGAAGCTTTGAGTGTTTGATTGCGGGCTTGGAGGTTTATGCGTAATATTCGCTGCATCGTGTTGACTTGGACTGCGGCCGCTGTCGCCCGTTATGAGGCAGTCACAGTAGAGGTTTGGGAGTGAAACACTAGAGGGGAAAAAGTGTTGTGAGAATGCTCAATGCATGACGGGCTCTCGTTCGACGATGCGCATAGAATCCACAGCGACGTGCAACCGCAGGGGAAATTTCAACGAAGGCTCTGCGGAGTTGGAGGTAGCAATTGACAGAGTCCAGCTTCCCGACATTGACATTGCGCAGATGGACATCTGCTTGGCACATTTTCCAACCTCCGGTCAAGCCACGTGATCGCACGTGAACCCCAGCCTGATCCAGCCAGATTCATTTTGTATTATACCTTAGAACGTGCTTACATATATCTAGCGTGGCACTCGGGGAGGTATCCAGTGATCACCGGATAGATATGAGGAATACAAGGCGGATCATATTTGCTGGAAAGAGTCATTTCATTGTGATCGTCATCGTCATTTCACCTTTTGGCCCAGGGCGAGACCTGAAGAATATCACTAAAGCCACCCCTTTGTCGTTGGACCCCCATTTGTCGCCAGCTCAAGCTGCACAGCTAAATGTACATGGAAAACCTCCCTGAGTCGAGATGAAAAGAACAGCATGCGACTTTTTTGCATGTTTGATGTACACTGACCATCAAGACCATCCCATAAACCAAGTACAGACCACCCTACCCTTTTGGAGGCATTCCTTTTTTCCAGCTCCTCGCAATGCCCATGCACAAAAATGCCTTGCCCTTTCCAGCGCGCCGTTGCTTTGTCTCTAAAAGCAGGGGTATCTATCGAAAATTCGAGCCAAGTTCCTCATCGTTTGTAAAAGAGCGTCGAAACTGTCGTCACTGCTGTTCGTATGTATTTTACTGGAGTTCCTGGATAGGAGAGAAACGTTAAAACCTCTTGTTTGTAGAAGCGGGCATCATCATTCCGTCATCTGAGTCGTCATCGCCGTCGTGGTCGTCATCGTGGGTTGCATTCTGCCAATGCTCAAGCGCCGGGCCGCTGGCGATTTGTGTAGGCCGTCCATGTTTGGTGATTGTGTCCGCGGTGCGCATGAACTCAGGAAGTGGCTCTTTACCGAGGGCCGAAATATCTCTGGGTGCTTCCGTATATGCTGGACCCAGGAAGCCTTCTCCTGGCGGGGAAGAGGCACCCGAGATTATTCCAATGCTCGGATTCGACATGCTTTGCGAGACACTGCTTGCACCGTAGCCATCTAGAGACGAGGCAATGGTGCTTGCCGACGGTCCTCCTTGAATAGCGTTTGACCCAAGGAAGAAGGGCGGTGCTTCACCCGAGACCTGTGTACGCTGTCTCTCGAGGAAGGCAATGTCGTCCGGGGAAGGAGGACATTCATCGGTCACGACGTTCTGCGGTTTTGAACCAGCCTCTGTGGCCGCTTGAACTTGATGCTGGACTTCCTGTAGATGACGCCGCTGATTGACTCCTTGAGCTTGTTCAAAGGCCTCCTGGCTTGATGTCGGTGCTCGAAATGAAGCCCTATAGTCACTCTGGGTCACGATATGTGGCGTTGGCGGAGAACCGTTCTGCTCAGCGGTTAGAGCGGCATCACGAAGAAGATCAGGTGGTTCAATAGCACCTGCAGCCAAAGCAGTGCTCACGGCAACGCTGGGTTCGGCGCGTGCATCACCTTCGGAAGACTTCCGGCTTGACGATGGAGACCGCTCGTCTCGCGGAGACCGTCTTTCTCGACTCCCAATGCGTGCCAAGGTCTTTGTAGTCCCTTCCCAAAGCCCATCGACTCTGGCTCTGAAGCCTCTGTCGAGGGAGACAGGTCGTTCGTCACGCGCTAAGCCTGAAGACGGCAAGGGCAATCGCTGCAGTTGCGAGGCCCTAATTGTCTTGACAGAATCGGCCGTGGAGAGGGTTGACGTTGCTCTGTCAGGGGCAGGAGGTCGTCCTTCGCGTATGGCCATGGGAGTACAAGCCGACGACGCAGCCTTTTGGGTGGAAAACGACTCACTGAAATAGTGTTCTTGTCCGGCTGAGTCTGGACTGGCAGTCTGGCTTTGTGCCAGCGGATGCTCGGTGGCGTCTCTCGACGTTTTCAAAGCCGTCAGAAGTTCGTCGCCGCGCAGACTAGATCGACGTGTATCACGTATCTTGTCTCGCTCAGTCTTCCCAACAGTGCTTGTACTGGACCCTGCTGGCGAGGCAATGGAGTCGCTCGAGTGGCTAGCCGTTGTGGCTGTACTAGGAGCACGCTTCCGCGTATTGCTCCTTCCAAGCAAATTGCCTGCGATTCGTCCAGCTGTGCTGAGTGCACGCTCAATGATGTTCCTCCTGACGACTGCGTGCGACATTTCCCTCTCGTCTACATCTAAGATTTTCTTCTTGCTGTCTTTCTCCAAGTCAGGATCATTGATCCATTGTGACGGATCTTGCAAGCCCTCGACAACCCACTCATGCTGCTTGGCTTGTTCGATTGTCATTCTCTTCGCGGGATCCTTGATTAGGAGTTGACGAATGAGGTCGCGCACCGCGTCTGGAACTACCTCGAATTTGAGTTCATAGTCGAGTCTCTTGTTACTATTGATGGAATTTGGCACCTCGGAGGTTGGCTTGTCTTGAGATGTGTCGACCGGCACAAGTCGAGTCCTTGGGAGAAAAACCTCGGTCCGGCATACTGCTTCGTGAAGTCCCATGGTTTCAGTTGCGTAGAACGGCAACCGGGCGTATACCATACAATAGAGTGTGATCCCCAATGCCCAAAGGTCTAGTGCGCCAGTGATCTTTGGGCCATCCTTTTCTTCAAACATGGCTGGATCTTCATAGCAGAGTTCAGGGGCCCAGAAAGCAGGCGTCCCAACGGATCTTGCTAGTTCTTTCTCGTCGTCTAACGCAGAAACATCATTCTCGGTCAGCTTGTAGTCAGGATCCTCAGGATCCTTGGGATGTCCGAGGTACGACACGCCAAAATCAGATATCTTGACAGTACCGTTGCTTGCGACCAGGAGATTCGCTGGCTTGATATCACGATGGATGATACCAATGAAGTGCAGAAACTGAAGACCGGAGAGCGTATCCCGAAAGGTCCGGCGGGCTTCCTCCAACGTTAGAGCTGGAACATAGGCATGCTCGTCGTCGGTCTCGTCGAAGTTCCATTCGGACGACATGTGAGAGAGCGCGCCAACGCTAGCAGCGATGCTGAAGCTCCGACCACGGTAAGCATCTGGGGCATAAGCGCCATACATGCTGCCCGCCAGAGCTCCTTCCGCATACTCATCATGAGAACTAGTCCTGCTGGGATTGCTGGACTCGTAGAAGTGGCGGGAGGCAGAACGAGAGACCTCAGATAGCTCCTCGTCCTCTTCAAAATCCTCGCCTCCGTGCTCGAGGCTCCAATTCGGGGTGGGATTAGTGTTTAAGGCGCGGGCTTTGTCTTGCATCTCATGGCGTCTTTTGGCTTGACTGACACTGAAAAGGTCTCTTTCAGTAGGTTCAAGTGAAAGCTCAATCCCAGCCCTTTCTTGCTCGAATCTAGTATTGTTTACTGCCAGGACCTCGCGGACTCCTGGCTTCCTCCACTTGATTTCACCCTTTTCGACATACTCGAGAATGAGGTAGACCTTGTTCTTGTTGGGGTCGTCGATGACTTCCAGGAGACTGACCACGTTCGGGTGCCTGGCCTTTTTGAGGATGGCCACCTCGCGCTTTGTTCGATCTTCTGGAGTTCCTAAGCGACCAAGCCGCCGCTTGCCAGAGTATCTTGGGACGATCTTGACCGCTACGATGGTGCCCCTCTCCACGTCTCTGCCGAGTTTGACTTTACCATGTTCACCACGTCCTATTTCCTCGATGATCTCGTAGTTGTTGACGAATTTATTACCGGAGAAGTGATCATGGTCGATCTCGACGGTGTGGGTTTCTTTTGGAGGTTGAAGATGGTGTGGTTGACGTTCAGCGTCGCTGAGAGACGAAGCCGACGGAATTCGGTCGCCCGAATGCAGCAGACCTGGACTCGACATCGGAGTATTGTCTGCAGTCATTGCGGCCTGCACGCTAGGCGAGTTACGTTCACGACCTTGCCTAGTCCACGTGGACATTTCGTTGTAAAGAAGATTTTGGGCCGGATGCGAGCTTCTCGTGCGGAGAGGCCGCGTTGGTCGTGGGGCATGGAACTGAGCTTGTAGTGCTTCAAACGACTGGATAGGATAGGTTGGGTGGTCGTTGTTGGATAGACGAGTTGAGTTGGCAAATGAAGTCGAGAATGATTTAGAGTGAGAAGTACGGCGGCCGCGAATTTGGCCGTGGGAGGACTTAGTTGACAGGGCGCGGTTTATAAGTGAAGCTGCCGAACCAGGCGACCGGTCAACGTCGCGCTCGGCGAGAGCCTTCAACGAGTTTGAAGAATTCTGGGTCGACGACGGAAGGGATTGCTGGGACTTGAGCGGGGCAAACCCAGGCGACGCTGCGATCCCATACTTTGAATTCCAGTTCAACTCGTGAAGCTCATCCTCATCCACTGGATCGGGGGGGTGTTGAGCAGAAAGAGCGGTAGGAGTATTTCGTTGAGTGTCAGACTCTGTGCCGCCGAGATTTTGATATACGTCTCCCGACAGGACGTCGTTGAAGCCGGTCCCACGGTCCTCTTCAATGTCCCTGATGTGTCCGCCAGTGTTAACAGTGTGAGAGGCTCGTTGCAGATCAGGAGCCCATTTTATACCGACGTTGTCTGGCATTGCTCCGGGACCAAGCGTGAAAATTCTTGTCCCGTCAAGAGGGCGCTGGACATGGAGAGACCGTTCAAAGGACAGTCCCAAACTTCAGCCGTGAACGCCTCTACTCAAACACCAGCCCTGGGGCAAACACTTGTGACTGCCATCTGAACTCTTCTTGATCCCCAGAATACCAATGTCTTTCCCCCAAAGACCTGCCTATGGTGGACAGGTTGTCTTGGGAGAAAGAAGTGTGTAAGGCCAAAAGCAGCTTCTAAGTGATTCAGAGACAATGTGTGAAAAAACACGTCAAACGGTCTTGCAGGCTCTGGATCCCGAAGGCAAGGACGGTATGGCTCTTGAGCCGTGGTAGCGAGGGTCCCGAATTAGTTTTGGGGAGGGGTGCGGCCGTGGATGGGCGATGCTCTCATTATCGATGGGCCACTAATGGCTGGAGAGGGGGTAGACAGTGTTTGGCAAGCCGACAAGTTGTTGAACAAGACTCTTCAATGGCATGAAACAGTGAGTCGTGCAAGAGATCTGTGCGAGGTACAAAAGAAAGGATGTGGAAGAAAGGAAGAGAGTGGGCGTTACGAGTGGCAGTTTGATCGCCAGTCCGTCAAGTCAGTCTGTCAATCAATCTGAGCAGTCTGTTGGATTGCGGATGGGGACAACCTGCAAGGACCAGCGGCGACGGCTAGCGAGCAGCAACAGCCCAAGGGTGCCCTCTGGTGTGCAGTGGTGTGCAGCAAAAAAGATGACGGAGGGGGTGGGCTACTTCTGGTGGGATCATCAGCGCCCAGTGCCCTTCAACTGGTGCACAGTGGAGGCGGGAAATAATGCCTAGCCGGCACCTCAGTGCCTATTCAGGGCTGGCGGCCCCAAGCCTAGTTACGTCTGGTAAGGTCTGGGCAGCAACTGGCCTGGAGCTAGACTCTCTTGCCGACAGCACCACACAACACGAGGAAAACCGCCTGCGGGCCGCTCTCTGTTCACAGCTCGACAACCCCGACCATGCACCAGCAACAACCATATGGATGGAAAGCAAGAAAAGGCACAAGATAACGACAGGGAGCAGACGCGAAAACAGAACGGAGAAGACGGGTTTGTTTGCTCGCAAGGGCATGCCTCCAGACAAGCCACCATCCCTCCGAGAACAAGCCACTACTCGACGCCTGCATCGCTACGGCCCTTGGTCCTTCTGAATCCCTGCTCCTCCCACCCACCTCGACAGGCCATCACTCGCATAATCCTAGCTAGCCCCGGTCATGTTCGCACTCAATCAGGTCTAAAGGTACTATGATCAGAGACAAGTTCAGAAAAGTGCAAAGAATGGGCTTCAGGTGTACCGAGTAAAGGGGAGTACGAAGAGAATCTGAGAGGCACAGGACGAGGCAATGACGCTCATGGAAAAGTAAAATAAAATACCTCTCATCGCCGGCACGTCGGGTTCTTTTTCTGCCCGTCACAGAGTTACACGTTCTCGATTCTGCAGGTCGACAAGTGAGGCAGCTGTCTCCGTTGCGAAAACACTGGCTTTGACGCACACTCACAGCTCATGCAGGCTGCAGCAAGGAATTTGCATACATTTTGCGAGAGGACGAGTTGGGCTTCTTTGCCTTATCATCAGGATTCTGCTTTGGGACAGGCACAGTCGCCACAACACGTCCAGACCACGTTTGAATACGAGGTGTGAATTTATCCAGCATGAAGTCGGACTTGCTTCGACCGGGCTCAGTTACTGTGCGTCGTACGACCTTTCTAGACATAGCCATCTTGTCGACGCCGTGGTCTGAGCCAACATAAACATGCATCAGCGGCCCCTCATACCATAAGAAAATAATGTCGGGACAGCGCAGGATGGTTTTTGAGCGACGCCCTTGTGCCTTGCTACTGCACTCCATGCCGGAGAGACGGGAACTGCATGAACATGGAGGAGGGTTTCTCAATATTGTTCCTTCCACAACCATCGCAATGCAGAACGCTTTGCCTCTACATTGCGTTGGGCGCGTGCCGTTCCTGGCTGCCACACTACCTAATGACGGCGAGCAAAAAGTGTGGAGAAGATGCAGAAAGTCATGCCAGGGCTTAAGATACCATTGCTCAAACTGGTTGGGGATCAAGGGCTGAAGAGCGAATGGAGCATCCCGCCGAGAACAAGCACAGAAACTAGGTGAAAGCCACATTGAGCCAACAAATCCTACCGCTGCTGCCCGCTCAGACTACTCGAGGCCCCCTAACAACAGACTTTAACCCTGCCGCTTCGGCAACGTCACAGCAAATCTTCAGGAATCTCATGGCGCTTTGTCTCCACCAGTATTGGTCATCTTTTTGACGCAGAAGAGAGCAGTGTGGCAGTTGAGCCTCAGCTTGATTTGTGAACCATGGGGGGAGGAAGACCGCCTTGGGGTTTGTCTCTGAACCTTTCACATGCTTCAAGTTGGACCGCGCAAACCTTGAGCATGCGATCGTCGCGATCGTTTGAGATCAGCAGAGGACTACTCATGGATTAGCGCATACTGGCGGACCTAGCCCCTCTGCATGTTCGCAGCCAGCACTGACAGGGTTCCTACCAACCGCACCCACGCCCAGTCTTAAGGCTCACCCTACTTTCGAGATCCATTTCTGACGGCGATGACTCTCTGAAGATTGCGAGTACGCAGAGCATTGCGGAGCAAACTTGAATCCTAGGCGGTTCTAAACCTTCAACTCCAAACATGTGTCAAGTTCCGACCGTTGCCACCATGCACTGAGGTGGAGATTTGCCTCCAGTGGTTCGCTGGAAGGGCTATCCAGTGCCTCCACCGATGGCGTACTTTATATCATTGCGATCCACTCCAGGTGGACCTGCTTCGCCCCATGTGCTTGGGAAATGCCGTCCCAATCAGTGAGACTACTTCTTCCAGCAGGTTGATTATGCCCTCCCTAAAATAACAACCCGGTATTGGCATCTCCGGGTGTGCCTGAATACTCGGCTGCTGTCGCAAAGGGAGGCTTCTTAACCGCAAGTTATCATTCCTCCGCATTAGGACCGAGGAGGATGACAAAGACCAAGGGACAAGAGACTTGCTCAGAGTCCACAACGCCTCTCTGCGCCTTCAACTTTACTTCGTTTGTACTCCGGGTCAGTCGTCTTTTAAACCCTCCAACTATACCAACCCTACCGATACACATCAATCTCCTAGATGGGAGCGCCAGCAACTTGCTGGCAAATCACTTGTATGGAAGATCCCCCGCATTTCTGGCGATCTCCCTGCCCTCTGTTTCCGCCACCACATTTTCTCTGATCCAAAGCTTGGACGGACTTTCGATTCCAGCCACTGTGAGGCACACTTCGGCATTCATGTTGGGCAAAGTTTTAACGAGTCATGCCACCTTCGAAGGCCTGACATTGACGTCTTGGGCCCAACCGGACACGAGAACAAGAGGTGGCGAGCGAGATGAAGGATACACTCCCGTCTTTTGGTTGACCCATGATGCGGGCCGGTTGATAGGTTCGTTGTTTGCACCAAGTTTGGGCTTAAGATCTGTGGGTTGTACCAGGTCGTGCCCTCCCTGACTTATGTCCGTACAACAAGAAAAGAGCAAATAGGCACAATTCTTGTGCTCTTGATCAGCCACAAAGATCCCGTCTGACACGCTCCACAAGCGCCACTGCGGATATGACAGCCGCCTTTTATGCGGATCATTGTGCTTCCCTAGCCATCCCGAACCGCCCTCGCACTTTAAGTTTAGCGGCCTTGTGTTTTGTTTCATGTTGGAAGGGTGTGAAGGGTGTGAAGGGTGTTCTCTATCAGGTGGTGTGCATGGCACGTGTCAGTCAGCATTCTCTTCCCCATCACTACGAGTCTCAAGACAATTGACGGCCGCCAACATTTCTAGGAGGTGTCCAGCCTCTGAGATTGAATTCGCCTAATATGCTCTAGGTCGACGCTTTCCTGTGTAATTGCAGCATGCTGTCTATGTGCGGTGCGCAGCCCTCGATCCGATACGACTCGATCCACGGAAGGTTGTCCTTCCACCTCCCTAGTGGAGAGGGGGCGACAGTACCAGACACAGGAGATGTCGACTGGCAAAAGTCCTTGTGCCTCGAGTGATGAGCGTCCTGGATTCTTACCCGCTGCGTCGCCTGAATTGCCGTTCCATGATTTTGTGGCCAAAGCACACGACTCCTGAACTCGCACGTCGTCGTCCTCCTCCTTCTATCTCGGGTACGTCATCTGCTTTGCCAGGGTTTGCCTGACCCGAGGACCAAGGGGCATTTTGTTTCATCACCGCATCTATTGCGCCGTCTGCACGGCCATGACACTACCTCTCTCGATGGGGAAATCCCTACGCAGGAATTGGTCTACTTGACTAGCCAGGGAAATGCGTTGTCTTTCAACAATCGCATACCTAGTGCTACTCGGCGTTGTGATTAGGGAGATACTGCGTGGCAGCAAGTTTCTGCTTGCACTGCTCAGACTAGCATGCTGGTTGTTTTGAAATGAGCAAAGCGAATCCCTTGTTATGAGGCATTTCTGTGACTGGCAAGCCTCTCGGCCAAGGGAACTGTCGATTGCGCCAGCGACATTGTGGTCCATCCCAGTTTCCCAGCGGACCCATGGCCAGGCTCAAGGCATATTCCAAAAAAGACAAAGCCCAGCAAAGACTGCAACACCTCCATTTGCCTCGAAGTCGAACGAACCCAATGCTTCTAGAGACTACGGTGGTTTTAGCTCGGAAAGCCCCCCCCCCCCCCCCTCCTCTCAAAACTACTCGACAGACGGTTCGTCCATCCTTGAGTCGAGCTGTGGCTGTTGAGGTACAGATCCGTATTGCTCGACTCGACTGAGCCTTAGGGTTTGTGATCGCAGTGCTTCTGACAAATTACACTATGTATTGACCAAGACTGGTTAAAGAGGTCGTCGTTGGCAGTTTAGAGGTATGTAACTCTTTTGATGGTGGCTTGATCTGGGTGCCGTCGTATTACAAAGACATTCTAGAGAGCATTCCCAATTAGGACACTGAGCAAGGCTATATAAGAGCCCCACTCATCTGGCCGGGATAGAAAAGAGAAATTTCTTTGTCGCCCGTCCCAAAATCTCGCTCAGAAGAGAATCTCTAATCGGTGGTGATGACATTCCGCTGGCCTTGGGAAGAGTAGTCAACCGGGCCACAAGTGCAGGCTTTGACCAGAGATGCTCTTTGCGTGGCTCTCAGTTCTGGGTCACACTCTACCCTCTCCTCCACCTCCTGCGGCTTGCAAAATCGTCAAACCCCCAACACCCGGCGGCATCGCCATCATCTCTACGTCTGAGGTGCCGGGATTTCGAATCACCTCTACGAGACGTCCTACTTGCCGAGTACCAGATAGATGCACTGTGTGCGTCGTCGGCTCAGCTGGCTGCCCAAGGTCTCCCGTCCATTGCATGGAGTCAATCCTGGCGGGCAATCCCCCATCCATCGAGAGTCCTACGAAACACCGAACCAACGATTGACCACTGTCACTAGCTGCGGAACCCTTTCAGCGCCGTCCTCCTACGAAAGAATCAGACCGAACAAGAAAACACTGGGAGGTCATCTGAGGTTCAGTCAACGCAGGATCTACCAGTCATCCTAGCGAAGAGGAGGGACTATTCACAAAATGGCAAGCGAGAGCAAGAAATCAATCTGTCGCAATGTTGTTTCCGCGCGACTAGATGCTGGGAATAGATCACCAACCACCATTACCAACACAAGGTGCTATGACTAAACACTCATTGACGACGGTGCAGCTTCGGCTCATCCTAGTGACGAGGGCCAAAATACTCGAGGATCAGGGTTAGTCACCAGGGCCCCTCTCTTCGCTTCCCACCTGGTACCACTCACTTGTGGGTGACTTGCTCATCTTCTCCAGCTTAGCTAACCATTATCGATTATTACAAGGACCAACTTGCGCTACTGGAGGCACTAAACCTCGCCAGGAAACCACACGGCAGGCTCGATTGCAGGGAATGACGAGGGTCTGACTTAAGCAGATGCGGCACAAGGCATGGCACATATCCCACTTCCCTCGTATTGGCGCTCGTGTCCGCCCGATCGCTTTGGCGCCAACACGAAGGAAAACCACCCAAAGGCTCGAGCCGAGCGTGGATTTGGCATCCCATGCTCTGTGTGATCCCGCAGGCTGTGTCTGCGCATTTTCCGAGGGCCAATGTGCTTATGTCATTGTATGGGATGTCTTCAATACAAGCCACAACCTACTGCATCAAGGAAGAGTCTCCCCTCGGCCGTCAGCTTGGTGCCTCTTCCGAGAGGGAAATGGCCGTCTATGGTCCATCGGGCTCGAGATCTCAGTCAAGCCTCTCCTGAAATCCGGAACAACTTCCAATAGAATTGCAAAGCTGCCCTGCAATAACGGGTTTAGTCCTTGACACCAACTGATCCAGAAATTATCGCCTCGTGTCTGGGCCTCGAGCGCTATGGAAGATCTGCGATAACCTTCCATCGCTCTGCAAATGCTCAGCTAAACATTTGGAAATCGGTATAGAACGACCTACCGCCTTCTCGCCCGACTTCACCATGGATTCTCTCCTTCAAAACAGCCGTGTCGACGCTTTGCCTCCAGGATGGCTACTACTCTTGTGTATCAGCATTCCCTGGGAGAAGACATCGCTCATCAGTTGTCTCAAAGATCCATGTCCAAAGACAAGCGTTCTCCGGATCAACCAGCTCCATTCAAGGGCGAGTTCTCCTTCGTCAACAAGGATGCCGGCAATATTGATTCCAAAGACCACAATGCTGCCGTGTCCTGGCATGTGATGAACCGCTATGAGCGTTGGAAGAAGCAGGAGCAAGCGAAAAAGCTACGAGCGTCTGCTAATGTTCCCGTGGGGCCACTCTCCCCTCCTTCACAGCAGCCACAACAGAGACAACCCCCGCTGCTGCGGTCGCCGCCTCAGCAGCAACAACAGCCATCACAGTCACAACCGCAGTCTGTATGTCCAGATCCCTTTGTGAATCCTTACAATAGAGCGCCGTTGACACATGCTTCACAGTCAAGAGCTAACCCCCCAGCTCCGTTTGGATTTGATCCATGGATGACCGAACAACCTCTTCAGCTTGGCTATCCTGGAATCAGCTCTGGTCAAGCGTCAAGTAGCGGACTGCCAACGTCGACCACATCGACGCCATCGGCACATTCGAGCATGATCGAAGATGATCCCACTTCCCTCTTGAGTTCGTCCAGCAGGCCGTTAGACCCCGGCGCAAGCTCGTTCGAACCGACATCCTTAACCATGACTCCACTGGTTAACAGTCTTATAGCGTTCGCCTACGAAGTATTCATCCCTCAAAGCTGGCCGAGAGAATCAGACAAAAGCGAAGGGTCATACGAGATCGCCAGAAGTTGGGACGACACAGCTCTAATCAATCAGGATGCTTGTTACGCCAATGCATATCTGAGCCTTTTGGCAGCCGCCATGAGCGTTCTCACCGAGGACGAAAGCCTCGCCTATCAATCCCGATATTTTCAAGGTCAGGCCATGACAGAGTTGAGGCAGCGGGTGGCTCGCCCTGGACCGCAAGACCTAGCCACCCTCAAAGCCATCCTGAAGCTCTTTTCGTCCGAAACGCTTGTCGACAACACCTCGATCGCGCGCATGCACCTCAAAATGCTGCGAAACCTCGTCAACGCAGCCGGCGGAGTCATTCTGTTAGATGCCTGGTTTCGGGAAGACTTACTCTCCTGCGACTGCTACTTTGCTCTCAAGTACGAGACTCGCCCACTCTTCCCGTCGTCAGAGTGGACTCCCGGGCCCTTGAGTCAGCCCTGGAAGGCTCGCTTGCTTTCCGCAGGGGTTTTTGGAGACCACGCCGCCACCATTGATCCGCTGGTCGAGCATCCCATCATGAAAGCGGTGATTACTGACTTACGGGAGCTTTTCAAAGCGCAAGAGTACATCCAGACACACGACGTTCCCAGCGATGATCAACTACTAAGATGGAAGCAACTGCGCAAGTTCGACTGCATCTCGCGTCTCGCAGACCATTACGTGAATGTAGCGATATATCCTCACCTGTTTCAGCGGCCCGTGACACAGGCTTACACTTGCGTTGCGACGGCATTGATGACGGCCATGGTCTTGGGCTCACCGGAACCGACGCGATTCGGGCTCAAGCTCATCACGGATCTCCGCAAGAAGCTGACAGAGAGTGCCTCTGAGGATGACGCCGCGCAATTCCGACGACTGCGACTGTGGGCGCTGTATGTGGGTTCACTGGCGGAGAAAGTGCATCCCGTGAGCGCCGCGGAGGAGCGCTGGTTCCACGATCGCTACCAGAGTCTATCCACCAGTATGGGGGTGTCAGGTTGGGAGGACACAAGGAAAGTCGTCAGGCAATTTCTTTTCTCCGACAAGCTTCATCAGGAGATCGAATCTGGAAGAGCCCATCGGGTGGCCGATGCTAGGCAAGGCCTCTATACTGCGTCGGGCTGCAGCTGGCGAGAGCCCTGGTCAGATACCAATATTGGCGTGCCGGAAGTCGAAGAGGGTGTTGGCGCGCCGGTGTCTGTGGGCAAGCGGCGTGTGGACGATGATTAAGCTGAGCCTTGGGTTTCCCTCAAAAGTACTGTCTGGTCGAGATGGCGAGGTGTTTGCAGAGCGACGATGCATCTGCATTATGGGCCCTGCTCTCCAGTTTAGGTCTTTGCAGAAATGGCGATTATGGTTGGCCAACACTATTTTCCGAATCGGTTTTAGGCGCACGAAGGAGCCGCAGGAGGGACAAGCGTGCAAGGGTAAGCATTACTTGGGAGGGACTTTGGCGCCTGGATATAGTCGTATGTGCCCGCTGGACGTCCGTCCGTCCATATGCGGGCCGGAGGAACTTTGAGCATGGCGTGGGGGAGGAGCCGAATCACGAATTGATACCCTTGAAAGATTATGCAGGAACGATGCATGCATTCGATGACCACGGAGGTTTGAGGGCAACGAATGAAGATGAGAAATATCCTACAAGTATGTACCGAGCATGTAAATGAGAATGGGAGAGGAGAGCAGACAGAGAGTGAGAGAACAAGGGACAGATGAGAAACAATTTCCATGTTCCGGTGTTCCGATGTTCCTCTGATCATCAGATCATCCGCTTGACCTTCCTTCCGTAGCCCATGACCATTAACATTTGCTTTTTGTGACGATGCACATTGTTGCGCCTCCTGCGCCTCGAATGGTTCTGTCACCTTCCTTGTACGGGAAACATCGTTTTTGACGGGGCTTTGCTTGTTCAATGCGGTCGGCTCCATGGCTGCATTTGACCTCGTTGAACCGGGTATCCTCTGGTCGGTCTAGAAACCTATCACGGGCTAGCCTCCTCCTGACTGCAGTGCACCGTCGCCGCATCCATCCTGGCACCACAGGCGCCCCGAATCCAGAATGGGGTCCTGAAGAGTTATCCCGTGTCTCGCAAGGGACGGGCCCTTTCATCTTCCATCTGACCTCGGACAATCCGTATCTCAACCTCTCGATCGAGCACTTTCTGCTTACCAAGTCACATCCCGACTCACACATCCTCCTGTTCTACACCAACAGACCTTGTGTGGTTATCGGCCGCAATCAGAACCCATGGCTCGAGGCGGATCTCAAGAGGTTGCAAGAGGGGCTCCCTGTTGAAAAGCAAGTAGTGGAAGCGGTCAAAAGAGATGGCGAGAACAATGTGTCAACAAACGTTGTGCCCATTGACCTTGTCCGGCGCCGCAGCGGAGGTGGCACTGTCTTCCACGACTCGGGAAATCTCAATTATTCAGTGATTGTCCCGAACACCAAGGCTTTTAAGAGAAGCACCCATGCTGAAATGGTAGTGCGGGGGCTTGAAAGCCTTGCAAGCGCTAGAGCTACATCCTCGTCATCGGCCGTCACAGATGAAAGGTACGGCTTTGGAGCTGTCCGGGTCAACGACCGCAATGACATTGTCATGCTCCAACCCGATGGGGGCGAGTGGTTGAAAGTTAGCGGAAGTGCGTACAAATTAACCCGAGGCCGCGCTCTCCATCATGGGACCTTGCTCTACTCCAGCCCGTATGTGAACAAAATCTCTGCGTTTTTGCGAAGTCCCGGTCGAGGCCTGATCAGCGCCAAAGGCGTAGAGAGTGTGCGCAGCAAAGTCGGGAATCTCGCGTGGACGCCTGACCTCCGCGAGAGGGAGGCAATCCGAGTAGAGATCACGGAAGCCATCAAAAGGGAATTCTGGAAGATGTACGGAGAGGACAGTGTTCGCAGACCCGGGGTTGATGAGATCACTCTCCCAGCCGGTACCGAGGAGTACGATGTGCTGAATCCTGTGGTGGCGACGGGCATGCAAGAACTCATTTCGCCGAGTTGGATCTTCGAACAGACTCCAATATTCGATTTTGCCAGCGGGATGCTGGAGCAACACGAGGTCCAACTCTGCGCAAACCGCGGCGTCTTGAAAACCTTGACGCTGCGAAGCCCAACGCCAGATCCGGGGCAGCGTGGGAATGAGGTGGTCTGGGCAACGCGGAAAATACAATTCGGGAGCCAGGCAAGAACAGTGGGCATGCGTACGGAACAACGCGTAGATGTGGAGGAGGCGGAGATGCTGGACCAAGAGATCAAGCTGCACAATGTGACAAGTTGGCGGGACCTTCTCAAGACTCGTTCTGGCAAGGATGCGAAAGATAGGGAGAGCTCGATGACCACGACCGTATCGCAGGCGAATGTGCCGGATGCGCTGGTCCAGAGACTGGAAGCCATCTTTCCACGGTATCCATGAGCCAGGCCCCATGGTTCTATCCGATCGCGCAGTCAACCAACCTGTGTATCCATATGCCATACAACAATGTATAGCAGTGTCGAAATCATTGTCAGAGTTCGAGTCCAATCCGCCTTTTGTGTCCTTTCCCTTTTCCTCTCTCGCCCGCAACAACTACTCGATACGGATATGAACCGATAAGGTTCGCGCTGCCATTCTGTCTCCCGTTCTCCTTATTCCTATTTCCTCTCATCTCAACTCAAGTCAACTCGGATCTCTTCTTCAGCAATCCTCGCGCGTTTTTGAAACACAGTCTGCTGTTTAAAGTACCTCGTAGTTTGTAGTCGTGGTTGTGGTTGTGGTTTGCTATTTCAGGCCACCCAACCACATACATGACATATCCTCGGTATATAATTATACATACATAACACATACACATACCTACTCGCTAGGTACAAGGACATGCGCGGAGGAAAAAACAAACATATATTTCTGAATTATACATCGATATATCAACAAGTCACCTTGGACTAGCAGACGACATCACATTCTGTCCTGCCTTTTTGCTTAGAGACCCACGCTCCAACACCCTACCTAGTAGTTTCTGGTGGGAACGCCATGATCGTTATTTTACGTCCCCTGAATAATACATGATCAAAAGCCAACAAAATATCAATGGGCCGTTAGTCCGAAACGGTCAGGCTCGCGTTTTGGTTGGTGTCTGGGATGTCCCAGGGGAAAGCCTCCCCCATAGTCAAACGACTTTGGAGCATCGTAGACGTGTCCGGACTGACAGTCCTTCTGTTCTCCTTGGCGTACAGCGGCCCGGCGGCGTTGAATCCAATTCTAGCACCGGCCAGACATATCCCCTTCTGTATAGACAGCGCCGCCATAGACAGGCCGTTTTTGGGACTCGACAAACTCATCTCGTGGAAAATGGGCCAAGAAGCGCCCAATTTCACAGAACAGTCTTTGCGGCTCATTGCTGACGCGAAAACGTTTCGGTGTTACTTCCCTCGTAGTAATTGTTCGCCACATCGGCCGATAATGGATAACGATGGGACCATGTCGTGATGAGAGTGGGTCGAATCTGACATGAACCAGCATAACCCCAACCTAGCAAACACACGGTCCCCTGGCTGACGGTCTTTGAAAACAACAGACGCCCGACTTTTTCGGCCATTTTTGTAGTGGCAAACCCCACATGCTCACTGTTGGGAGGCTTCCAATGCTGTTATGTCCAGTTGAAGTTTGTCGCAAATTCATCACGCCATCCCAAAGACCAAATCATGACCTCCACTTCCCACCGCATTGGGATCAAATAGATCCCATCCTGCAACGAATCCCTCCGCACTCGCTGACCTTGAGTCACTTACGCTGAACTCCTCCCAATTCAACGTGCCGACGTCAAATGCAGGTAATCCGTCTCCCTCAAGCCCTGAGCGGCTCCCGAAGCGGAGTTTATCGAGCTGAGCAGGTCCAGGATAGAGCAGGCGCGTGAGTTCTGCATCCTGTGCAGGACCGAACGATGATAGAGAAGGAGGCCGATTTGAAAAGACGGACTCCAGTAGTGGTCCTAAAAGGCGCTCATACACGCCGGCGTAATTGGACACCTCGTTCCATCCCTGCGCGGCGAGGGCTAAAAAGTTCGCTGTGAAGACCTTGGTCATTTCGAAGATTTGCTGGGCATTGAAGCGAGACGAGATGGCGTCAAAGCCGTGGCGAAGACAGAATAGCACGACCATACTGTTTTCAAGCACATGATGAGCGATCAGCCACGAACGTCGATAGAAACCTGTTAGGATGTGGTCGCGTAGGCATTTGGCGCTGGAGCAGGCAGCCTCAAACGCCACCATCAGACTTCTGGGCCCTGGCAAGGGTACTCGAGGTGATGGGCGATGTAGATTGGTCAAGCCATGCGCCAGGGTGAATTCTGTCAACTCATGACCGTCATTATAATCTTCATACCACGCCTGGAGACGTCTTTCCATCGAGACAAGCCAGTCTTCCCACGACTGCCCTGGTTCGAGAGGCTTGCCTTGGAAGTGCACTTCAGTCATGGCGCTCTGCAAGCGACGGAAATGCACCCATCGTAACATGTGAATTTTGGTTTCAGCACCTGTTGGATCGATGCCAGTGGGGTGGATATGCTTATCGTCAAGGATGGAAGGGAACCGAGCGTCAATGGTCTGATCTGGAATGGAGAGTGGCCGCTGCAGTGCCGAACAGATGGCACGATCGAAATTATATGCTGACCAGAAAAGACGTCGCCGAAGATCCAGAGTCAAAGGGTCAAAGTTCAGAGCCTCGGGCGCTTCACGATGCAGACCAAGTTCTAGGCATGCGCGCATGGCAGCCCCGGTTAACATCCAGACATTCGCAAGCCGAGGGTTGATAGACGCATATTGGAGAACCATAAGCGTGACCTGGATCCCAGCAAGGTCGGAGGGAATCTTGGCCTTGTCGGTCAGATGTTGGATGCCTTCCTCGAAGAGAGATCCCGAGAATACCATGTGCTTGGCCTCGTGGCCTGTTCGTGCACTGCCCAGTGTAGCCGAGATAGAAAGCATGAGGTAAATGATGAGAAAATCAAAGGACGGAGGAACAGCGCGATGCTTTTCGGGGAGTTCTTGCAGCGTCTTGATGACTCGCTCAAGCTGCTGCCATAGTGAGGGAGCATGGAGAACAGGGTAGATGGGATAGACCCTCGTCATGTATTTCTTGATGAGACTTCGCAGAATGGGAGTTGGGATAGATTTGAGCATGGTACAGCTGACTTCATGGCTGGCCCGTGAGATGGATTTTCTGCGCGCTTCTCTGGGGGATCCTGATG